AGCATCCAGAGGATGTTCTCTGGACTCAAGACTAGTTCTTGAACTGAGACCAATCCTCACTGGAGCAATAGCCAAAACCACTGAGAACTTCTTCCACTATGCCTTTGACCTGCAGCATTTGCTATTGTTCAGAGTGCAAAAGAAAGCTGTGCCAAGATGTAGGATACATCTATTTCCTCTTCTAAAATTAAAGGAAAATGGCCTTAAGGGACTGAATTATGGTGGAACACACCTTGTTTCCTTCTTGCTTGATGTCTTTGCTCAGAAAGGGGTTTGCTTACTGCTTACTTTTTGCCTTTGTGTTTTAAAACCACCAGTGAAAGGAAACAAAAAATAAACAAATACTGAGCAAGGAGCAGCTGAGTGCTCCTAGTTCACACATCAGCCAGACTGTCATGGGTCATCCTGAGCTGTAGATGGGATCCAAACATTTTAGGCTGCCATGAAGATAAGGATCTGTTGAATGAGATCAGAGGAGGGCCACAAAGATGATCAGAGGGCTGGAGCATCGCTCCTAAGAGGACAGGATGAGAGTGGGGTTGTTCAGCCTGGAGGAGGCTTCAGGGTGACCTTAAAAAGACTTGATTTTGTCTGAAGGAATCCTACATGAAAGTTCAAGTTTTTACAAGGGCATGGAGGTGATGGGACAAGATGGAATGACTTTAAGCGTAAGGAGCATAGGTTTTTATTAGATGCTAGGAAGAAATTCTCCCCTGTGAGGGTGATGAGACCCTGGCACAGTATGCCAGAGAAACTGTGGCTGTCCCAGCCCTGGAAGTGTCCAAGGCCAGGGTGGACAGAGCTTGGTGCAACCTGGGACAGGGGAAAATGTTCCTGTCCATGGCAGGGGTGGAATGAGATGAGCTTTAAGGTCCCTTCCAACCCAACCCACTCTGTGATTCTTTGAGTTGCTCCCACCAGAGAGCATTGCCTGTGGGCTGTGTGCCACTGACAGAATGTGTTTGCTGTGGCATTTGATGGCACCTCTCTCAAGCAGGGCTGTGTTTGTTTGTTTGTTTGCTGTGGCATTTGGTAGCACCTTTCTGGGGAAGGGATATGTTTGTTTATTTGCCATGGCATTTGGTGGCACCTCTCTGGAGCAAGGATGTGTTTGTTTGGTGTGGCTTTTGGTGGCATCTCTCTGTTCAAAAACCCTCCGGAGGCCTCACACTATCAAACCCCACCACGCAGGAGACAGGGACAGCAGGGAGCAGTTTGTGCCACCTCATCTTGCTGTCCCCTCACCTCCTGGTTAGGGATGACCACTTGAAAATACAGACCTGCTATGCTGGAAGAGAGGGGCTTGGTTTCTAGACTGGTTTGCAAAGATGAATATTCTTTAAAACATCTTTCTCTCCAGTCGTTGATCTGGCCTGTTAAGCGGGCTAAAAAGATGCATCAGTCATCACAGCAACTCATTTTTGATTTTTCTTTTTTCTTCCATGTCCTCTCCAAGAGAAGGAAGGACAATCAGGTACATGCATCCAGTCATTATAGGGGTGCTTGGCTTATCTCTCAGGACAGACAGCAAAGTAAATGTTTCAAGGGACAGCCTTAACTTTTCTGAACCACACTTCCCTGGGAAGATCAAGGCACTGCTCATAAGTGTTTGGGCAGGGGGAGCCTGCAGGTTTCATTTCCTGACTGAAAACAGCTGCTGTGTGCTATACTCTTAGGTACCATGGCTCTTAAAAAGAAATAGCCTTGTAGCAATGATTGCACCAACAAATTTGGCATTCCTGCTTTTATATTAAATTTTTTTATTGAGATGATGTAATTACAAGCATTTTAAAAATTATTTGCAACTCACTGGCCCTGAGAATAGGCTTGTTTTTGTTTTGTTACATTCATTTGATTCAGTCCCTTAGCCCCACACCTTAAAAAAACAAAAGCCATCATCAATAAAAACACTAGAATTTTATTTTTTTTAAAAAAAGACCTCAAACTCTGGATTCGCGTACAGTTGCAGTCTGACAAAAAAGATCTGGAGAATGCATATGTGGAGTTGGAAATACGGGGAGGATGGCAGCAACTTAGTGTTCACAGAAAGGGCCCCAGTAGTGTTCTCTGGATGGAGAGGCAGTCAACAGGTTTCAAACATTAATCCAGAAAATATTCTGCTGTGGAGCTGCAGCATGTCCTGCCTGACTGACCTGTGGCTTGTTGAGGCTTGTGGCAAGGTGATGACAATGAAGGTCCCGTTTAACCTTTGCAAAACCACTTAACCACTCAGAGCCTTTGCTGGGTGCTGAGCTTGGCAGAGATCTAGTCAAACCCCCTCTGGTCAGGCAGGGCCAGCCAGGCACAATGCCCAGGACCGTGTCCAGGTGACTTTTGTGTGTCTCCAAGGATGAAATGCTTCCTCCCTTTCCCCACCTGCTCTGGTGGCAAAGGCAGAAAGTTTGGCTGTTTTGCTGCTGGCGAATTCTACACTGGGAAATCAGAAACTGGGGGAGGGGAGGAAGGCAGGTGTCAGTGTTGGTGGAAAGACAGAGTTACCTTTGCTAGCCCTGGCAGGCAGCAACGCATTCCTACGGCTCAGGATGTTAAAGCTGTCTTTGCATTCCCATGGATCTGCCAGTGGATGTGAGGTCAATGGGAATCTCCCTCCTGCAGCTGCTCTAGCCTGCCACTTCTTTTTTATTTTTAGTCATACCTAATAAAGTCACTTCAAGACCCCAAGAGCAGTTCAAATCCTGTAGTTCCCACAACAGACTCCAAGGCCCTGCAGTCCTGGCAGCTCCAGTGTCACCCACACCATTCCCTTTGGCACCTGGAGACCTGGCAGGAGACAGGAAGGGCCTCTGTGGGACTGGCCTGTTCCAAGGTCAAAGGCTACTTTCATTCCAACTAGCATCAGCCTTGAGAGAACCCCTTCTCTGTGGTTCTGATGACATTGTCTTAAGATGTCCTTTATGTGTGAACTGGGAAGAGCTTCCAACAGCCACAAACATTTTTTCCCCTTTGATTTAGATTGTGCAAGTGGAAGCGACTGCATTTCTCTGTAAAGGTGAACATTTCCACTATAAAGCTTCCCTACTGGACAATGTGTGATTTTCCTGTCTTACCCAGTGCTGAGGATGCACCTAATTTGGTAGATAATGGTGAGGAAATGGGTGGATTGTCTCTGGCTCTCTGTATTCTGCAGTGTGCACCTTGGCCATGACAAAAAGCTGTGACTCATCAGAGCACTTTATGCAGAAAGTCTCTATTGTTTTTTTTTTGGTCCCTCACCATCTTTTAACAGCAGGCTGAAGAAAATAATGCAGTTATGCAGTTGTCTAGACTACAGCAGTAAAGAGGATGAATCATCCTCTGCAAAAACTTTCTACCACTGGACACCCAAGGATCCAGCTAGAGCCTTTCTTTATGTTCTTCATTCTTCTGATCACACTCCATCTATCAAATTCACCACTTCACTCCAGCTCCTGAGACCTGGCTGCAACTTGGGGGCCCTTGAGCAACGTGACAGAGCAACTCCTTGTGCCCTTGGTCTCAAGGGACCTTGGGTTTCAGATCTGTCACTGCTGAAGTCCCACAGCATCTCCCAATCTCACGCCTCATGAGCTCCAAGGACTTCAGAGTCATGCCAGAGACAGGTGACACATTGCTAAAAACCACTCCCCTGTCCATTATTTTGAGGCAGAACAGATCAAGTACGTGGTGTGCTGGGACTTGTAACTTACTGTCTGTGATTTTATAGAAAAACGTGGCTGGGAAAAGCTCAGGGAGAAATGTACACCCTGTCATTCCTCATCAGATACTGGCTCAGAAAAATCTCTCCTTGTTGTACGATGCTTATCCACACTCTTAACAAAGCTGTTCCTTCTACGACCTGTGACTCAATATTCAGTCTTTGGTGAGATTGGCCTATCTCTGTTTAAACACAGGGGACACTGTTCATTGCAGAGTGCCATTTTTTCCTGGATAGATTAACCCTCTTGTTAAATACGTGGAAAGAGCAAATGTCGTGTTGGTTTAATAGCTGATAAAAGCTCTATCATGGGAATGTACCTTGTTTTTTGGTCAAAATGGATTAGATTAGCCTTTTGATTTTTTTCCAGATCTAGTTTCTTTTATGTTTCCATTAAAGAGGCTTTCTGCTTTTAATGCACTGCTGTGGATGTGCTTTCTTTCAGGCACCATGTGATTCCTGCAGTTTTCCTATAAACCTTCTCCCTCTGCAAGCATCATTTCTGCTGCTAGATCTTCCTTCCATTCAAAGGACCCCTGCTGATGGATCACTGGACACCACAGACATTCCTGTCCTGGTGGTCCAAGCTGTGAAATGAAACAGGCCAGCAGTTTCTCTTGTTTGGGCATCAAGGACTGCTGAGCTTTCTGTGACCAAACTAGGCACAGCTCTTTGCCTCTTGCCAAGCACCCTCAGTGCAGCAAACCAAATGGAGGCACCTTGCAACCAGAACAAAACCCCAAACCAAGAAAGCAACACAGCTGTAGGGTTTGTTTTTCTCTTGTCTTAAATCATGTTAAAAACAGGCAAGCTGGGACAAGCTTCCTTGATGGCAGAGCTGTAGGATGGGGGAGGGCAGTGGGAGGCATAAAAAAAACCCCAAATCCCAAAACAAAGCCAAAATCAATTACAAGATATAAGTATAGCTATTTGGTCTCTAGTTCTCTAACATCAGATTTTGGAGTGGTGAATCATCTACCTCTCCAGCAGCACAAAATGATCCTGGAGAGGCTTCTGAGTAATACAAACCATGTGATGAGTCCCTTTGCTTTCTCCCTGTGATGTAAGGAACAGTCCTTCACCTTTCACCCCAAAATTGCTAGCAGGTATGAGAAACACCCCTTCCTTCTGTAATTACAGAGGCTTCAGTCTTTCTTTTTATAGAAAACTCTGAACTGAAATTCACAACTCTGCATTGTGAATATACTGGGGGGAATTACATATATATTTTTATATATATATGGAACTTTTAGATATATATACACACATATATATGTATTTGTCCCCACCCTCCCTTCCCCCTCCTCCATTCTACCACTTCTTTGCTAGAAGGAGGGAAAATGTTAACTGATAGTCACTTGCAGAGGTTTGTCACATTTATTTTTCTCCTCTCTGGAGCACTTAGGTGATTGGTTTTGGTCCATATTCCAGCAGTTAACAGCCACTCGGAGTGCTCTTTGTGAGCCCAAGCTATGCTGGGAATGACAGCCCAGCCTACATGTGAAGGGTGTCTCCTCTTCATTTGACAGGTATGTGTGGGAAATTCTTTTGGTAGCTTCAACACATTTCCCAGTGGCAGCACATATAAATTGATCCAAGCAAACTGGAAGCCTTGAGCAAATCCCTTCTGTGTTGCTATTGTTTATGCAGTGTTGTGTCATGAGACTTGCACAGAAAATAAGAGCACTCTATTTCCATAGGAAAGCCTTCCAAAAACAAAAAAACCAAAAAAGAAGAAGCATAATCTGATGTCTTGTCCTATGTGAGATAAGGAAAGTCAAACTGCATGTTTATTAGGGAAAAAAAAAATGACAAAAAAACCCCAAAACTGAAACAAACCAAAAAGAAAGAAAAAACTCAAGGGAGACTTTGTAGGAACAGTGAAGTAGTGCATAAGTCCAGGCTTTCTCCCCTTGGCTTTCCTGCCAGCACCACTTCTGCCGGTGAGTTTGTTTCGTTAAGGTGCTTCAGGTCCTGCGTGGTCTTCAAGCTAGGCAGTGACCTCAAGTACTGCTCCTGTGCTGTTGCTTCCCCTCCCAACCGTGCCGACCGTCAGGCTGATGTTCCTCCCCTGGACCCACAGAGGTGCTGCACCTGTTTCCTTCAGCACTCATCTTCTTGGTATATTTGTTCATCCAGTTCCTGCGATTCAAGGTGCTCCAGGCGGTCTGTCCGGCCGCTCATGATCTCATCTGGGGTCTTCATGAACCTGCAAAACAGAGAAACAAGTGCATTTCTCAGGGGTCTCAGCTTTTATCTTCATCAGCTTGTTGAGACCCCTGAGCTCTCCAAATCCCAAGATAATCTTTGCTGTATCCTGCCAAAGCCTTGGTATTTCCCAGCTTCTCCCCAGGTGTCTTCCCTCCTCCATAACTTGAAAGGAAACAAAGAAATCACCAGACTTTACCCTGGCTTCTTGAAAGCCCAAATCTGAACCAAATCCATAGATTTTTCCAAAGAATTATATTTATTTCTTCTCCCTCATATTGTTTGCCCTTTTCATGTCAGATGACACCTCGGCCCAGGTACACTCAAGTGTGGTGTCTGGTGACAGAGACATGAAAGGTCTTGATGATCAGCATATTTCAAAGCACAAGCCCTTGCAAGGTGTGGGGATGCACAGGGTTACTGGTTTGTGCAGGCCTGCGTGTAGGTGAGTGAGAACAACATGAAACACCAAAAGAACAGAGGGGGAAAAAGCCAAGGTCCAACTCAGAACAAGTTCCAGGTATGGAAAAAGCCCTGAAGGAAAAAGGTTTAGGGCTAGGGAACTGTAAGCAAAGACAGTCTCTTCCTGTGTGCTTGTAGAAAGTGTGACTGCAGTGAGGCAGCATCCTCTGTAATGAATGCCACGGCTCCCAGCGCCAGTGTCTCAAGGCAGTAAGTCTGCAGGGTGCTGGAGACAGAAACTGCCTCTGGGGAGGCATGGCAGCAGCAGGAAATGAGAAAGGACATCCACCAGCCTGCAGTTTAAGTCTGCAGTCTTGGTTTTTGCCAGGACACTATTGTGTACTACTGCACAGAGCACAGAAAGACTCTGCTTTCTCATTTTCAATTTTATGATTGAAAGGAAAAGAGAGTGACACAGGAAGGATGAAACACTGGTTTCAACACAAATCAGTTTCCCAACTCCCAAGCACTTCTGGAGAAATTAGGATGAAAGATGTTTATGCTGGAAGTGGTACAAAATTTCACAGTCTTTCATTAACAACATACTGGTTAACATGCAGCAGTATGAAATGTGTTAATTGTAAGAGCTGATTTTATTTCAGGTTGATGATATGCTCAGTGTCCTTGCCCCAGTGAAAACAAAAACAACCAGCAGGAGCCTCGTTACTAGCACTGACTCAGAATGGTCACTGCTAGAGCTTCTCAGCAAACACAGCATAGCCTGGAACTAACCTTTTGCCTTCCCTTCTAATTTTGGAAATCATGTGCATATATGCATTTAGGGGGAAAAAAAAGGGCTATGACTCACTGCTGTGTCACTGCTGGAAAAATGCTGCTGCAACAAACAGTGTTACAGTGGTGAAAAACTTGTATGCAGGAGTGGTGAATCAGTGCCTGGCTACACACTGCACCAAAGCCCACGGCCAGACTGTGCCCTGATTTAAACCCTGTGACTGCCCTGCTGATCTGGCATGACAATGAAATCAAAACACAGAGTGGTCCCACTGCCATGGGACCCTTTCCATGTGGGGCATGGGCTGATGTGAGCTGCACCACAGGATTTTGGGTATTCCTTCTGGTCTGTGCTTTAAGCCACATCAAGGAAACCTCACTGTGGGTATTTCTAATAGCATTTGATTACATTAAAAAAAAAAACAAACGAAAAACAACTCAACCCAGAACTGCATGAAAATTATGACACACTATCTGTGATCTATTTTGTTGCATCCAACCTATTAGAAATCCTTTTCTGACTCCATCTTACTTAAAGCTCCATACAGATATTTGCAGATGACAACTGCCTGCACGTAAAGTCACATTTCCTATTATTTCTCTGCTTGCAAGGAATAGCCAAGAAAGGCACATTAATAACTTGATTTTTTGCAGCTGTTCTTTTTCTCTTCAGATATAAATAGGTCTAAGAAAACAACATCAAAAAGTTTTTATTGGGAATTGTGCAAAGAAATGTTTTGCTGGGTTTTTTTTCCCAGTTTCCAAAGGAAATGAAGTTTATATAGCTCATGTTTTATGCTCTCTGGTGACCTTTGAATCTGTTGGTCAAATTGGCCAAGTCTGACAGAGCAACTGAGGTCTCCAAGGGCATTAAGCTACAATGGTTTTGAGAAAACAGGCAGCCTGGTTGAGCCTGATGGACTCCTGTTTTGTGTATGCCCCCACTGAAGGGAAGGCTTCAAGAGAAGCACATTCCATGTTCAGCATCAGGAATTCCCCCAGGGCAAAGCAGTCTTCACACAAAGCCACAGAGATATAGGTACCCTGGGTACTGATGGAGCAACCTTGTTTTAACTTTCCACCAGAAAAAAAATTTACTACTGAACACTTGATTTTGCCCATGACTGCTTCTTTCCTTCACTCTCCCTCCCTATGTTTCCTTCTAAGAGCTGACATAAACAAGTCATTCCAGAGAACCCTTTTCAGCTGAAGAGAGTTTGAGTGCTAATGCAGTTCTGTTAGCTATTTAACAAAACAAATTCCAAGACTGCCTTCCTATTGTTATCATGTCCAAACACACTGCTAGATCCAGGCCACTGACAGCAAAGCAGTCCTTGGTCTGAGTTCAGTGCTCTGAGGGTCAGATGTGCACTAGGATTTGCTGGTGTTGTCTGAAGAGGAGTGGAGTGCTCTCACTCTCAAGTTTGTACAAGCAGCTCCCTGCTTTAATGCTGTTTCAGGTTCTGTTTCCTGAATTCTTGGTTGTATCATCCAATCAGCTGTGCTGATTTATGAACAGCTCTTCCAGCTCCCTCTCTTCCTTCAAGGCAGCACCAAAGACGTGGTCACTGAGAGCTTCTCTTCTGTGATGTCCTTGAGGAAATGCCTGATCTCTGCTCAGCTTTCACAGGCAGCTGTGTTTGAGAAGTCCATTTGGGAGTAGGTTTTCCAGCAGTTTGACTGAACCTATTTATCTAAGGTCTTAAACAATGGCACAGCCTGCACAAAGCAATGAAAAGACTTCTGTTGTCTCCACTGATCATTGAGACAAGCCTGTGCTTTTTGTAAATTGGTGGGGCTGCCTTAAAAGCTGGGAAGCACTGCTCTATACAGCTTTTACAAATGTATGGCCATCTTCACCTGTGTTGTAACTGTGGCAATGAGATATCCCATACACAATTCCATCTTCCATCCTCAAAAAATAACTGTCCATAGAAAGAAATGGCAAAAAAAGAAAATTACCTGAACAAAAGCCTTTGTCCTGGCTCCTTCCGGATAATATTTAATTTGTAGTAGTGGCGTAGGGCTCTGGACATTTTCTCGTAAGTCATATTTGTTCTGTTCTGTTTTTTTCAAAAGAAAAAAGGAAAAAAAAGTGGTGAGATGATTCATTAAAACCTTCCTAAGCCCCAAAATGAGTGGCAGAACTATCACAGCTGCCTAAAGTAACCAAGACAGTCCAAGAAATTACATGTACCATTTTTTGCTGTTTGTGGGCCCACTCTGCCCCCACAGCCCTCATCACCTAATTTTTGTGGGTCTCTTTCCACACAAGGCAATTTAAGCAAGGAGTTTAAAAGAATTCCAAGCAAGGCTTTTCTACAGTTTCTTGGAACACAGCTAACAAAAGACTTAATTAACTACAAGAGGAGACATTAGGTGGAGGGAGATGCTCATGCCAAGTGGGATGTGACAGGCCTGTTCTTACTGAAAACACCTTTTGTAAAAGCCTGGGAGTAGTGGCTAATAGGCTGAATCTGTCAGCAATCCCTGCTTGGAGCACTGTTTCTCTGGGATTCCCCTGCATTAACTAGTTGATGCTCACAGAGCACTGTGGGGACTGATAGCCTGCTTCTCCTCTTGTTACACAGGTGTAAACCAAGAAAACCAGTTGGGTTGTACATCTGCTTCTGTGACAGATCCTCCCCTTCATTCTGGGAGCTGCTGGCCCCAAAGGCCATGGCCAGAGCACTGAGGTATACTGAAGAGTGAGATGATTCATTAAAACCTTCCTCAGCCCCCAGAGGAGATGGCTCTGCTGAAGCTGAGCGTCACAAGGAAGAAGTGATAGGCACTGGCAGCAGAGCTGTCCCCAGATTAGGGACTTGGAAGAGCAGGATGAGCCCCTTAGGCTATGTCTACACCAAGGGGCAGTGGTTGCTGTCTGGCAGAGACTCCCAGCAGAGACAACTCTGCTGGCAAAGCTGTGAGCTGTGTGTGCACGAGTGTACAGCAGCCACCTCGCCATGGGCAAGAAACACCGAACCAGCAGAAGCACGTTTTTGTTCTGAGAGTCTCCATGTCAGGAGTTTGGCATCATCAAAGGAGACTGATCCACCTGCCTGAAACACCCAGTAAGAGCAGACCTCCTCTGCTTGCCCTGACTACAGTAACTCTGCAATGGGAGGCCACAGCAAGAACTCCTGTGGCAATGGAACACTAACAGGGACAAAGTTTTCCCTGCAAAATCTCCTAGACTCCTCATTGGGAACCTCCCTGAAATACTGTTTGTGCTTCTTCCATTTCTTATATGCTGAAAGGCCACTGTGTTGCACAAATGGCCAATGGTCTGAAGGAGCTTCAGTTTTAGACACCCAGCATGAGACCTGACGGCATGGCCCAATTATTAATGTTCAGGTTGGGTAAATTGGTAAGTTTCATAAAATTCCAATTAGCCCATATCTCCAGCATGTTCAGAACCACACAGGTGACAGCACAACCCACTGGTATGTCAGCCACTCCTCCCAGTTTTGTGTTGTCTGAGAATCTGTCCCATCATCCAGGTCATTAACAGACATACAGCACTGCCCCCAGAATCAATCCCTGGGGTAAAATGACTAGTGGCAGGATTTTGTGCCATTGATCACCATCTTTGCAGCCCAGCAGATCAGCCAGTTTTCAATCTACCTCACTGTATTCTTGTCTAGGTCATTAATTAGTCTGTCTTTGAAGCTGTTACGAGACAGTTTCAAAAGCATTTCTAAAATCAAGATAAGCTATATCCACCATTCTCCCTGAATCCACTGAGCCAATAATTTTGTTGTAGATGGATATCACAGTGGTCAAGCATGATTTCCCTTTTGTAAATCCATGCTGACTATTAATACATTCATATGAATATACTTATATACGTATACAGAAACATCTATACATAACTCAGCCCTAAACTATAAAAATCAGTAATGGCTTTCCAGAGAACAAACCAGGACCTGCCCTCTTAGAAGGAAATACATAATCCTGCAGCTTTTGGTGTCTGTCACAGGGCAACCTGTGGAATCTGGGAGTTGCTGCAGACAGAACACAGAAAGCTCCTGCTCTGTAGTACAGAGCTCCTTGTAAACTTCATCTTACCAGAATATCCTCAGCATCAGGTTTTGAGAAGAAGTAAGATGCCTTGAAAGAGAAGGATTGCTCATTCTTGCACTCCTTATAATTTTTTAATTACATGCATTTATAACTAAAGGCCTTTAAACCAAACCAACAAGTTGGTTTATATGAATAATAGGTTTTAGTGCTTCAGGATGGATGCTTGGTATTTCTAATGTAAATAGAATAAAAGATTCCAGTTTTCCAGTAGTAATTTATATGCCATCTTTTCTTCTTGCCCCCTGCTTGTAACTGAATCCTGTGATGCTACAAGAGGCCAAGTGCTGCAGGAGGAAAATGGCATTGCTTCCTTACCTTGTGGTTTCCCCACAGCCGGGCCAGCCCATTGGGATCCACTATCCGAAAGATTTTGGATTCCTTATCTTCCCATCGGATGAAATTTTCGTACCGGCTGTCAGAAAGCAGCTGATAAACATAATCCCAAAGCAACCTACAGTCTGTGAAGAGAGAAGCAAGAAAATAATTACTTCTCCTTTTTTTTCCCTTGTGATTAATTCTGGAAAGGTGGATGGACGTATAGTGAAAGGACAGTTGGGATCAGGGCTGAAACAGCTGCTGTGACCTGAAATGAAAATGGCTTGGCTGGTATTGAGTGATGTTTGCAAAATGCACTGGAATATACAGCCCCTTCTGATGCATCCCAGTTCTCCTGACACTGACAGAGCATCTCCATCTCATCAAAAGCTGTGTGAGGTCACCTGCTGGTCTTAGTTGTGTGTTTATGGCTGTACTGAAGCACAGAAAGCTCACATGTTGGCCCTGATGTTGTTGCTGGCTGTTTTAGTGGAGAAATCACAAATCCTGCAAGCTGCTCTCCCTGCTTGAGGCTGCCCCTTTCTGTGCTAACATGTGAGTCTAAAGCATGGGCAATATTACAGCTTTCCTTTGTAGGCTCCATGTGTTATAAAACTGACAGCTTCTCCCATTTTCAATTTTATTTTTTGTTTTACTTTTTAAGGTTCCTGAAAAGAAACAACACCTAAGTATTATAATTACTTGAGTGCTATTGAGAGGTTAAATACTTTCTATTTGGATAATTGAATTCAAATTTCCTCTTGGCAAACACTCCTTAGGTCGCTAATTAAAGGTCTAACAGACACTTAAGTTTTAGTTTAGTGTTTTTCAGTTTCATGGCAGTCTCTTGAGACTGAGGAAGCCAAGAACTGAGCTGCTCCTACTTCCTGTTTGCAATGTGTGTGTGCAGCACAGAATAACTGGGAATATGGAATATGGAATGTCATTTGTACAGAGCTGGGGGTACTGCTGCTGTCAGAAACAAAAGGGTTTTCACAGCTCAGCTATCCAGATTTCTGAGGTGGCTGTGGGGTTGCATTTTACTCTGAAAGCAATATCAGCCTCTGAGAAATGGCTTGTTAGAGTGGTTCAAGGGCTGCCAACCAAATACATCCAGCTTCTAAATGCTAAAATGGATTCTTGTCAGCCTGTCTTTCTATTCCTGTTGGTCTGTCTGGGGCTGGCATGTCTTATAATGGGCATGATGACATGGGAATATAAAATACTTTTTGAGAAAGGATATGAATAACACATTTAGTGAGCACACCTGAAATGGACAGAGATTTTCAAGTTATTTTCCCACTTCCAAACTGCAAAGAGTATCTCTGACACCAGTACTGTCTCTAAAACCAGAGTTTAGTTTGCCAGTGCCCTTGCTTTATTCTCTCCCTGCCAGTCCTACAAAGAATAAAGCATTTTGTTTTGAAGAGATGGCATCTGGCAAAAATCACAGGTTCCCATTCTGGCTGAATGGTCACCTCATCCCTGACATCTCCAAGAGGAGAAATGTGAAAGGCAAGAGACAAGACTTTTTGCTTGGAAAAAACCTTATTTTCATTATAATTTTACATAGAAAAACATTTTCCACAGAAAAATGTCCATCCCCATTTGGGATTTTTCTAGGTTTTAATTTAAAAAATTAAATCTGGGCACAAGTCTCCCTGGACTAAGCGAGAGGTCTGAAAACTGAAGTTGAATTCTACCACTTGAATTTCTGTCATCTCCCCCTCACAAATTCACAAAACACAATTCTTCCATTACCTTTCTGTCAGTATTTTTGCACACACACACACACAAAAGAAAAAGCTTATTTTTTACACTTCATTTATGATTCAAGACAAGGGAGATTATATTGCTCTTCTGGTTTGTGCCTTTTAATATTGTGGGAGGTTTTTAGATAAAAGGGTAGTAAGGCCCTGCTTAAATGGTTCTTTGACACAGGTGCAATTCATTCCAGAACTTTTTCAATGCAAGAAGTGTATAAAAATGTCTTTTTTAGTGCAAGAATCCTTGGAGTCAGCTGGAGGGATGGTGCTCCAGGCTTTGTCATATTCTTGAATGTTCAGCCCAGGGCAGACAACCTCCAATTACAGCATGTTACAGATCACATTTACAGTTCTGCAGAGATATGATTTACACTCCTCTTTACTTTCACCTCATCATTTGCAATGGGCAATGTTATTTTTAATCTCTCTCTCTCTCACATTCAAACACACACCCTGGGCCCCCTTCTGCACAAAACCAAAGAAGCACACAAAAAATCAACCTGAGATGGCCAGGTGGAAATAAGGAGAGCTTCAGATGCTAAGAAGAACTAGGATTCAAGCGCAGATTTGGGATTTTTGTTGTTCAATTAGTTTTTAGGATGGATTCAGGCAAAGCTATAAATACACTTCAAATGAGAGAAACAGATCTGCATCTTGAAATCTTCACAAGAAAAATCATAAATGATAAAGGGCCCCATCCCATATTCTCAACTGATTGAGCTGCTCAGACTTGCAGAGGTATTTAGTAGGCTGGTGGAACTCACAAAAAACCCCAACCACCCAAGTATCTGAGACTGCTGTTTGCTTCAACAATAAAACTGAAAATCCTTGAAAACTCTGCTTGGTTCCTACAACCACTTAAAAACTTGATTTCAAACCATATGGCTGTCTATCAGCAAATTTAGATAGATGACTCAGTTGCAGTAATTTACTGAGCATCAGGGCAACTGTGGCAATTGTGTCTCAAGGAAATAGGAAACAAAAAGCATTAAGCACCAGTAGGAAAGATCCAGGCTCACTGCATTTCTTCTCCCCAGAGCTGAGAGCTCCAAGCACACAGTTTGTTATCTTGGAGCAGCTGATGCTTTGCAGCACACTTCAGCTGTGTATGAGCTCTGCTTGCACAGGACCTAAAGCAGCTTCCTTCCTTCTAGTTTCACTTGGGACACCTTTAGAAACTTGAGCACAGGCACTCAAGGGGTTTTTGTTTGTTTTTAACCACAAATGGTTGCCCTATATATCTTTCTCCACAGATTGCACAGTAAAAAATAAGAGGTGGGGAGGGTTCTCCCTGACTGACAGAGGATCACTAATTAAATAATTTACCAGTAGAGACCATCTTTAACAGGACATTAGAGACAATGAGTCCAGGCTACCTAGGAACTCTTAGAGCTTGGATTATAGCAGAGCCCATCTGCAAGCCTGTGAAATTGGTCAAAACCCAAGAAGAGGTGATGCTAGAAAATGCTTTTAAAAGGAGCTTCTCTGCTAGGAAAAGAGGCACCTCCACAAAAGGCTGCTGGAAATGACAGACAACATGCTCAGGCACAGGGTGGGATTCTTGGGCTGCCCTGTGCTGGGCCAGCAGTTGGACTTTGATGATCCTTGTGGGTGCCTACCAGCTCAGGATTCTCTATGATTCTGTGATACAGAAAGTTATATTTTCCAGGAAGGTCAAAAGTGTCATGTGTATTTTTAGGAAGGACAGAGGAAATGGAGAGAAGGACTTGTATGTGGCTGGTTGTTTTGTAAATGTCTATCACTTGTATGAGGGATGCCTGGATGGTGGAAATGACTCCATGAAGATTCCATCTCCTCCTTGGCTGTCAGAAGGCCCCTGAAGGAGCTGCTGCATGAGGGGTGTGTGTTGGCTAGTGAGTAACAGCAAAAAGCACATGGATGTTGCTGAGGCCAAGCAAGTTTAAAAGTGTGGGAGATTCAATCACGGAGTTGAGTCAGGGCTGGTACCTAAATTGTTTGAGCATGCTGTGATTTCCTGCCTTTTGGCTAAAATAAGCTTACTTAGAAAGCAACTATGCCTCCCTAGCACAGGGAAACATCATTTCCCCCTAGCACACACAAACTTTTTTTTTTAAAGTGAACTCAGATGGTTCAACTTTGAACATTCTGCAGCTACAGAGATTTAGCTGCAGATAGAGCTGGGACTGAGAGGCTTTAAGGTGATGTAGTTGGGGGTGGGAAGGTGGAGTGCTGAATGGTCTCATCAATGTGGAAATGGCTCCTAAACACTGGCACTTCCATGCCCTACCATTTTCTCAGCTGTAATACTGAGCAAGTCTGAGCTGTGTAATTAGCTGGGAATTAGGGCAAACTGCAGCTTCAAATGGAGAGGTATGGCTACAACCTTCCTCCTGCAGCTAATGCTTCCAGAGGGACTTTTACAGTTATGTACAGGGTACTGATAAGGTGTAGAGTACTTAGCTGTTCTCAAATTGTCTGCCATAAGCACTGCCCTACATGTGCAAGAGGCAGCAGTTTCCCACTCCTCCTAACAAAAACCATGTTATTATTAATTGATTAGGCAGAGTCTTCTGAATACACACCTAAAGAATACCAGCATATAAATACTTCCTAATAGCTATATGATAGTAATAAATATCCCTTAGAATTGAAATACCATCTGTAAATGAAACATTATGGATCTTAGGTTCCTCATATTTTGATATTTGTCCAGCCATTACAAATGACTTCTCCAGTATCATTTGGCCGAGGTCATCTTCATGTTACAGTAGTGAGAGGTCTCACATCTCTGCTCTCTGGGACTAAATAATGCTGTTAACAATATAGCCATATGCATGCTTAAGACCTCTTTTGTTCAGGATATAACATTCTCCATCACTGAAATATTCCTTAAAGCACACACTCTATCTGAGCCCTCTCTTGTTTAAATGGGACCCATGGTGCAGAGCTGGCCCTCTTCATGTAGTAACTACCAAAACCCTCTGTAACCACAGAAATGTTTTGTGAGACCCACCCACATCTTGCACTGGAGAGCATTATATAAAAAGTGTTTGATCTGGCTGATGACTGCCTTGGAGCCCAACATGGCTCCACACAGGAAGAGATGCCAAAGGAATGTTGTCATACTCCCTCTGACATCAGCTGAGGCCTTACCCCTTGCTGTGTAGGTTAGCCTAAAATCTCTCCAGCATGATTATCATTTGACTTAAATGGTTCTGTGATTTCTACCAGCTGAAGAGTTCCCCAAGCTCAGCCTCATTTATTTTACAAGCTGATGTGTGCTTCAGCTGCCTTTGTTCAGAGTGAAGCAAACAATGGCTGTTCACAACTGAAACTCATGAATAGAACCCTGGAAGTTCTCTGGCACTTTAGTTTCTCTAAGTACACCCAAAGTG